TCAAGGGCTCAAGCAGGAAAAAAAAATGCTTTGGAAATGACGATGGCAGCATCCGTGCAAATGTGCTTGACACAGTGGATGAATGTATGGCTTGTGATAAGAGATGTAAGAGCCCCCCCAACAAAAGCGTTTAATAATAAAAAAGGAATTAAGTCCATTTTCCTGTCTTATACATAGTAGGATTCCTCCCTTTCAATGTAGTTGCACATTCTGCTGTATTTTTTGAGGGAGGAAAGGGCGCTGCCTTGTTCTAGAGGCTTTGAGATCTTAGGTCTTCCATTTAAACAAACAAATGAAACGGAAAAATCAATGGCACCAATCTACTTCCACTTGCCCTCATGTTTTTCATAAGGCTTTATTTTATTTTTATTTGTTATTAAAAAACTGGCCATCTGCTCCCATCAAATGACAGCCTAGGGGAAAATGAGGGGGGCAGTTCTGCTCTGTCACTTGCGGTGGCAAAGAGTCAGAATTGACCTGATGGCACCTAAGGGTGACAGAGACAGAGGGTGACACGGGGGCAAGGCAGGAGGAAGACCAGTGAGGGAGGAGGATGCTGGGCTCTGAGGTCCAAGTTAATCATGGAGTACATGTGGCTTAAGCACTTGAATACTACTACCATTCCATTTAAGTTCCATTCTCTCCGCAAGCCTAAAGTCTGTGTTCATTTGTTCATTCATTGTTAATTGAGACTTGGGCAAGGGCTAGGTATGGATGATGCTAGACCCTGGGGATACAGAGTTAGAGACAGTTGCTGCCCCACAGGCCTTACCCTGTAATGAGGTTTACCTTTGAAAGGCTCCTGCTGACAGAAGGCAGGGGAGATGATGCGGGTAGGCCCGTTAACCCTCCCCTCCACTAGTACAAAAGATAATTCATGGTAGATACACAAGCCAACACGGCACACGCTTTCTGAGCATTTGGTAAAGACTGGAGTTCTGTATTCTAAAGCTGAAACGATGTGATGGGAAGACTGGGACACGACAAATGCCGGTCAAAGGAGGCAGAACCCCTAATAAGGGAAAAAGCGAGGGTGAAAATGGTGGATGTCAGAGGCTCCAAACAGGGGTCAACAGAAAGGAATGTGAGGTATGGCGCGTACAGACGTGGGAAACTATTCCGAGTGCCAGTGCCAATAGAAGGAGGCTTTCTGAAATAGAAAGATTAATTGCAAGATATATATAAAAACGAATTGCTCCATTCTGGCCCTCCCAGATAAAGTCCAATTGGAAGAGAAGGGACCCAGAAGTTGTTGAAGACAAGCTCGGGACTAGACTGTGGCGAAAAGCAGCAGGGCATATTTCTAACATGAAGGGGGAAATGAGACAAATGTTTCTATGACGTCCAGAATTCAGTGGATTTGCAGGTTCACATGCAGGAAGGAAGGAAGGAAGGAAGGAAGGAAGGAAGGAAGGAAGGAAGGAAGGAAGGAAGGGAGAAAGAACCTGATTCAAATTAATATGAGTATACGGGGCACTTAATTGTATGTTTATTATCAATTATTTATTGAGCACCTACTGTGTATGTCCAGGATTTCTGCTTTTTATTTTATTTTTCTGAAGCACAGCTGCACCTGAACATCGAAAATCAGAGCCTTCAATGTGTCAGATATTAAAATCAAACCTCAGTCTGAATGTTACTCATTCTGTGCCCCCCTCAATAGCTACATTCTAGCTACGGGCCTGGGTTCACCTACTTGAATGTGGACCACAATTCCCATCCCGTTAAACCTTCCATAAAGAATCAAGGCAAAGCTTGGGCTGGGAAACGCCCTCCGTTGCTGACGGATGGAAATGGAAAGGACCATCGCTTGCTGATGGATGGATGGATGGATGGATGGATGGATGGATGGATGGATGGATGGAAAGGGCCATTAGTTGCTGACGGATGGAGATGGAAAGGACCATCGCTTGCTGATGGATGGATGGATGGAAAGAGCCATTGGTTGCTGGCGGATGGATGGATGGAAAGGGCCATTGGTTGCTGATGGATGGATGGATGGAAA